AAAGCCCAGAAAGCACTTCTATGCAGCTGAGTTTACATTTTATAACGGCAGTTTATCAGCGATTTTCGTCTGCGCTGAAGCAGCCCACACACCCGTGGATTGGAGCCGGCAGGCGCAGCTCGGCTCTCCCGAAGAACGGTGCTCATCACGACGGGGTTTCAGAGCGCCAGCGCGCCCGAGACAGCAGCGTTCACCTGAAGATCGCAGGGAGAGGAGCTGCTCGTAATCCCCTCCGTTCCAAACCCGCACAGAGCAAAAGCGCACGCGGAATCCGCCCCAGCTGGCAAATTTTCCTTGGGTCGGAATAGCCAGTCCTCGCCCACGAATGGCGAGATGTTCTGTCTTGGCCCAAAAAGCCAAGGAATTCCAACTCGGTTCACAGATGTTCCCAAGCATCCAGCGCCACCGAGCTCTCTTACAAAATTCAAAGGCTATATAAAGCAAAACTACCAGACATTTCTTGATGCAATGCCAATTCGCCCTGAGTTAAAAATAAGAAGTTTGGATGTTGTGACACTTCAGGAGGAGCCCAAGCAGACAGTCGTCTTGCACAACACTGCTCATTTCCATGGAAAGGTAACTGAGGGACACAAGGCGATGGGAATGGGAAAATAACCAAGTGTTCTGTATGCTCCTGCCAGTGGGAAGAGCAGACCCTGGGCCTGGGTAGTTGCTGGGATCACTTTCCATAGGAATTTTTAATTATCACTGGAAAACCAGCTGAGCATTGAAGCGTGGAGTTCAGCTCACCGCAGAACTTGGTTTAGGGAGCTCCTCTGGCACCGTCTGGCGGCGCTTGGCCAACAGCAGCTACCAGAGTTGTACGTCCAGTTCATGCACTGCCCTTGTTTTCTTCAGCCTCCTTTACACTATTTATTTGCCCAGCACTTCCAGATGCATTTGTTTTTCCACCCGGCTGAAACAAGGGCGACGGAACAAGGCCCGACCACCCTAGCTCCGGGCATCCGCTCCCACTCCCTTCAAACCCCGCGCGGACCAAGGATCCTGCTATCTCTCAACACCAACACACACCGTAGGGTGAATTCATTAACTTCGCTTATTTACCCCTAATTCACAGTGCTCTCCCTCCTTATTTCTTAAGGCCTTTGTCCTTTGGCCTACCCTAGCCATTTTTGACAGGACTTTTTCAGAGAGATGTGCCTATTCCTAACTATTTTCTGTATTTGGCCACCGTTATCTGGAGCGTGGCAGGGAATCTTCCTATCAACATGTCTGAATATTATCGGGGTAAACACGCAGAGTCTTGCGGGGCGCAGCTGCATCTAGGAACAGTCAGGTTGAGGAGTATCTGGATCCTGGCGAAGGAAGCCGCAGTGGGGATTTTCAAGGCAGCACGGAGCACACGTACTCAGAGCGGCCAGAACAGCGAGCGGCCATATGAAAAACCGTCCCAGTCGCATGTTCCGCAGCATCACAGCTCCAGTCCCTCTCCCATCCTGCCCTCTCTCAGGTTAGACGCTCTGCAGCTCCAAGATGAGCAGCTGTGAGCTCAGAGGCGGCAAGCGGAACTACTCCACTTACTCGAGCCAAAAGGTAACGCAGATGCCTTCTCAAGTACACTCACCACCCATTCCAGGGTTCTGACACCATCATCTGAAACTGTTTTTTCTTAACTGGTTTAATTTACTTGGTATAAAACCACACGTTTGTATATACAAGAACGATGGGAAACACGTATTTATACATGATTAAATACACAAAGTCTGGGTGCAGATGCTCACCTTTACAACATAAATGATGCTAAAAGCCACCGCACATTTTCTTCAAAGTCTCTCAGACGTTACGTTGGACCCATCTTCTTACTGCAGCACGTTCCACTAATGAAGCTTCTAAAACCCCCTTCGTTCACTGTGCGAGAAACACGTGACACATCAGGCACGAGAACTTACTGCCAGCACGTGCAGCCACAAGCCAGGAAAAGTTAGGAAAGGTTAAGGCCCGAAGCTCGGTTTAGTACCACTGTGCAGCCGCCCACGTGCTGATCGGCAAAGGGGAAGCAAACCAAAGTAAGCTAGCTCAACTCAAAACCATTTACTGGCAGCCTAGTGGGATCTTAACAGTTCAGTCAAACATCACCAACGCCTACGGTGACCCGAGCCAGGGCCCTGTGACGTGTCGACGGAGTGCCGAGACAGCGCGATCGGATGACATGAAGTGAAGTACCAGGCAGTTAGAGGTGGACGGCCGAATCCTCGTGCAGAAAAGCACGCTGCAAGTCAATACGTACAGCTACTAAGGATCCGAGTTTAAACCGACACGACTGGAAATAAGCCCAGCTGACCAAAATTCAGGAAAGGCAGAATAGCAGGTTCTCTAAAAACTGAAGCACCGTAGCAAATCTGGTGTTTCCAATATGCTCCAGGGCCAACATCTTTTTAATGTATTTATTAAAGAGATATCCACCTGACTCAGCAATAAATGAAGGCATATGAGGAGAACTACGTATTCTCCAGCCTGACACAAATGAGCGCCAGCAGTTTACTACAAGACTGCCCACGTACATAAAGCGTGCGCGCAGACTCCGAGAAGCACAATGGCTCCAGCTAAATGCCGTAACAAAAGAGCGAAACACGAGAGTTAACGAGCAGATACACTTGCTGGGTATCGGACGCTACCGGTACGCGCAGGCTTTCATACACTGCCAGCGCCAGAGTAAAACCACAAGTATTTAAAAGGATCCAAGACTAAACGATCGCGGAAGCCGCCACGTACAGCACTGGATCAGAGAGGGGAGACGGAGTTTTAAGAAAATAAAGATGGAGCACACCGAACAAGAGCACAGCTGAGATTTCAACCCGAAAATACTACGCGAGGAAGTCACGCGCTGAGAGAAATCCTCCTCTGGCGCAGCGGGTAGCGTCTTCTTTCGGGCGAACCTGCAGCCTTTTTTCTTTTTAGCAAAACACAAGGAATTTTACTGGTACCAGCGTCTGTTGGCGTGACTTCTCCTGGCGGTACGAGACTTGGGACATTATCTTTCTCCTTTGCCTTGCAACCAGCAAAGACTTCTTGCCGCAGCTTGCAGAGTTCCAGGATTGGCTGCCACGTTAATGCTTGGGAAAAACCTTCTGCTCTTTCTACCAGCGCTGGGAGAGACTGCAAAAACAAACCCAGGTACCTCAAGTTAATGGGAAAAGCAAGGCTTACTACGAATGAAACAGGTTAATTGGATTCCTATTGCAGTCTTCCAGTACCTGAAGGGGCTACAAGGAAGCTGGGGGGGACTTTTTACAAGGGCCTGTAGTGACAGGACAAGGGGGAACGGGTTTAAATTGAAAGTGGGGAGGTTTAGATTGGATATCAGGAAGAAGTTCTTCTTGGAGAGGGTGGTGAGGCACTGGACCAGGTTGCCCAGAGAAGCTGTGGATGCCCCATCCCTGGGAGTGTTCAAGGCCAGGCTGGATGAGGCTTTGAGCAACCTGGTCTAGTGGAAGGTGTCCCTGCCCATGGCAGGGGAGTTGGAACTAGATGGTCTGTAAGGTCCCTTCCAACCCAAATCATTCTGATTCTGCCAGGCACAAAAGCTTCAGCATCCGTAGGGACAATCCCTTAGGATGGCAGGCAAAGTTTGGGAACCGAGAGCTACCAGGCTAACAGGGACAAGGGTCTCCACTCGGAGCCATGCCAAGAGCATGCCAAGTTTCAGTGTTCCTTCCTTACATCTGCTACGCTGAGCAAGTGCCACTGGCACACCACGGCTCATGTCTAAGCTGAAGTGATACACATAACGTGCTACAGGATGTTTTATTTTTCAGATGCTGCAAGTTCTAAAATATCCATTAAAAATATTTCCTATGGCCACAGGGCAATCCTCCTTACTGCCACGTGAGGGGGAATGCTCTGCAGACATGACTGCAGCAGGCCAAACCTACAGATGTACTAGTACAAAAGCACACGCTCAGGCTTTTTTTTGTGCAGCGTTATAACCCAGATGAGTTAGAACTCCTGTTTCGTGACGCATTATCAGATCAAGAAAATAAAAAAGCATCCTCTTGGAGCACACAGATCTCACCTTCATTGTTCCGCTGAGCTGTCTGGACACCGCTTCTGTCACCTGCTTCAGATCTGCGATGTGAGCATCTACAGAAAAACATACAGCCTAAATACACTTCTGAACGTTAACTCCCTCCCCCCAACACCTGCTATCGGCTTCATGGAAATCAGACAGAAAATCAGTAGAGTTCCCTGTATAAAACTTAAACCTACAACACAACCCTTTCATTACAGCATTGAGGATGACAGCTTGCATATTTTATCTTGCTGTTATTACTTTTCGTCACTCAAGATGCAGTAGTGTCCAGCAGCCTCAACTACAGCAAGCCACAAAGGTCTTCACTAGACCTACACTAGCTTGGGCAGAACAGGAGATGCAGGGTCAGTATCTGACATAAAGGAACAGTTTTAAAGAAAAACAAAACCCCCCCTGTTTTCAAACCTTTCAAGCTCCTATTACATTTGATAAAATACACAAAAGAGGGAGAATAAACACAACTGTGGAGAAAAGGAGATGAAGGAAACCCATTTTAAGGAGGGGAAAAAATAATCTTACAGCTCCAACAAGCCAGCTTTTACAATAAAGGCTACATTCTTCTCCTGGCTTAACTTACCAAGCATTAACACCAAGAATAAAAAAGAAGCAAGCATAAACAACAGGAACGGCATTAATTCTGCTGGGTTGGTAAGAGAAGAAAGAAAAAGAAGCTTTCAGGAACACTGCAGTAGACAGCAGGTGCAGAATACTGGGGGACATGTCATATATTTGATTGCACAAGCAATATGGTAAAATGATCAACACAATATAAGTTTTTGATGATGGATTTACAAGCAATAATAATCCTTTACTCCAGAGTTAAACTCTTTAAGTCATTATAAAACTGTTTTGCCTGTTCTCTGCCATTATTCTGTCTGCAGTGCTACGCCATCAACAGATGGTAAAACCAGCAGATAAGCAAGCGTGCTTCTGGGAACTCGGCAACCTCACCTCCACCACTATTGATTTCTGCAGGGTGTCCCCATTGCCTGCAGTAGGATACAAGGTTAGAGAGTGCACACACCCCTAAACCCTTTCAGGGTTAAACACAGCGCACTGCTTTGAAGTCAATCTCATCAGTGCTACTGGCAATAATTTCAGTCAATCGCTGTCTTCTAGCACAGGGCGACAGTGACCCTCTGCTGAAGCGCAGCAGGCAGCAAGAGACAGCGTTTGGCTGGTTGTCTGCAGGCCCAGCGTGCTGACCAGACGTGGTTTAGGAACGTCTAATCCATGTATGGACACGGATGCTAAAATGCACCATCAGAGTTTAGAAGGAAAACCAGCCCAGCAGCAGCCTCTTCAAACACACCACAAAGGCCTCTGAATGGACCTTCTCTGAAAGAAGGATATGCCCACAATGAAATATTCTTATGGGAGAGTACTGGGATTAGAGGACTGGTGACCCCCTGAAATGGCAAGGAAGGAGTGAAGTAAAACTAATTACTTGGATTATTCCCATTACACAGAACAACTGAGACACAATTAAATGAAATTTGCCTGCAGGAGTTCAGCTTTACATGGAGAGCATTGTATTCCTCAGTGTTCAAGGCTTTCCAAAACAAAGGGAAATGAAAAAAGGAAACGAAAAGTATTGAGTAATCTAAACATTTTTGGTTTCTGGCCACTGTACTTGCTAAACTGGGATACATAAACTTCCCAAAGACTACATAATACTCAAATTCAGCACAAACCCAATGCTCTCTTGGCTAGGACGTTGCTGTTACCTAACCTAGAAAGGCAATACCGTAGCACAAGCTGTTAGTAACGTACAAGGAGTGGTTAATGCACTCAAGAAAAGCAGAGAACTGGGCACTGGAAGCCAGAAGAAATGCATAGACGGCGCGTCGCTCTTTCTGCTCCTGCTGCCTGCTTTACTGCAGAGGCTGGCAAGTTTCTGGAAGCAATGTCTCCTGTTTACAAAGAGGAAGCAATGCCTACAGCAAAGGCAGATCAGGCAGGGTGAGAACTGGAAGATTAAGCTCAACACCGCTGCTCGTCGCACCAGCTTTACGTTACGAGCAGTAGCCCACAGCGAGGGTTCTGTAACCACGCTTTTCAGCTTAGAGCAGCATCGGTAAATTCTGTCATTTTTCACTATTTAAGAACAGGCAAGACAGAACTTCCCATTTCTTAAGGCCAGCCTCAAGAAAGCACATTCCAATCATCAACTGCAAAATACTCCACCTTGTTCCAAGGAGTTTGTATAAGGAATAACCTCTCAAAAGCACGTAGCAAACTTACAACGCTGCGGTTTTGCTTCTTCGCCAGCCCTTACAAATGACACAGGCAAGAGAAAACTGGATGCCTACTTTGCAAGGTGGGAGAATCAACGCTGCCATCCCTGAGTACTACACAACTGCTTTCAATTCCCTGAAGAAACCGACTGATTAGGAAGAGAGACTGAAGCATTTCTAGTATTCATGTAAAAGGAACACAAGAACAGTCAAAGTATAATGTCAGCGACCCATCTAGTTCCCCATCTGGCCTCCAGCAGTGTGAAGGAAAGAAGGAAGAAAACCTACTGAGGGTATTAGCCCTGTGACACTTTCTGCCCAATACCCACGCAGCAGCCAGCTTCTGCCTTAAGTACGGTGCCTAAGAGCAGGCAGCACCGGGGACAAGAGACACAGACACAAGGAACAATACATACCATTACGGCACACTTCTAGCTAATTATTTAAACAGTCAATAATTATAAACAAGTTTAAAGAAAGAAAACTCAAACGTTTATAGCTAGCCAGTAAGGTAGGCAGTGTTTCCCCAGTACAGCTGCCCTCCCCATGAAGTCTTTACCTTGAGAAGGCTGTGATTTTATCTCCTCTGGCGTTACGACAGGCTGGTAGAGCTTCTGCATATTCAAAAAAAGAGAAGTTTTGAAACACCCTCTTGGTTTACTAGATATCTAATAAACACCTAGCAGTCAGAACAATGGAGAAAGGCTAATAGAGGGAGATGGTGGAATTATTTAAATGAAGAATAGAGGTACATCTTATAAATACTCAGTTACTGGAAACAGTGTTCTGGTTAACACCATAAAGCTCACTGCAAACATGATTCCAATATCTGCTTTAGTCTGCAGAATTCTAATTATTAAAGCATGAGAACTAAACTGAAATCCAGGCATTTTGGAAGAAGCATTGTCACCTGCTGCACAACTGCGGAAAAAAGCGCTGGTCTGGCTTCTAAGGAGCCATTCACAAAAGAGCAGGCATCCACAGAGGAGCAAACCCGAACAAAGGGTACAAAGACAAAAAGTGAAGAAGGAAAACTATTTAAATTACTACATTTTAGCTGTGCAATTACTTACACATAAATAACAACACTCTCATTCACAAACCAGGCTCTCTGGCTTTTTGGTCCTACTGTGAGTCTTGTGACTTAGCATCAGTTGTGACATAAGTTAACAAGCAATAAATAATGTATACAACTAGCATGTAATTATATCAAAGGTGGAATCAGAAGTAACTACTGGGGAAGAAAGAAACAAAGCAAAGACATGGGAATGTTAAATCATGTCATCTGCAAATCAGTCTTTTTCTCCACTTCGGGAGCTGTCCCTCAACCTTCTTCAACCAAAAGTAAGTAGGAATAAAGTTAATTATTCCTCCCTGTAGCATGACAAGAGCAGATCTCTCACAGTTGACACACAGAAGCATAGAATGGTTTGGGTGGGAAGGGGCCTTAAAGACTATCTAGTTCCAACCCCGCTGCCATGGGCAGGGACACCTTCCACTAGCCCAGGTTGCTCAAAGCCTCATCCAGCCTGGCCTTGAACACTCCCAGGGAGGGGGCATCCACAGCTTCTCTGGGCAACGTGTTCCAGTGCCTCACCATCCTCTCCGGGAAGAACTTCTTCCTGATATCTAATCTAACCCTCCCCACTTTCAATTTAAACCCGTTCCCCCTTGTCCTGTCACTATAGGCCCTTGTAAAAAGTCCCCCCCAGCTTCCTTGTAGCCCCTTCAGGCACTGGAAAGTGCTGTAAGGTCTCCCCGGAGCCTTCTCTTCTCCAGGCTGAACAAGCCCAACTCTCTCCGCCTGTCCCCATAGCAGAGGTGCTCCAGCCCTCTGAGCATCTGCGTGGCCTCCTCTGGACTCGCTCCAACCAGTCTGTATCCTTCTGATATCGAGAGCTTCAGACCAGGTGGGGGCTGATGAGAGCAGAGTAGAGGGAGAGAATCACCTCCCTTGACGCTGCTTCTTAGCAAGCTAACGGTAACAAGCAGAAGAACAAACACTGCTTGCCATTATCCTCAAACAGAACGTATTGACTGAAAACCTACAGGAGGATCTCTTGCTTTGGCAATTACAGGAACATCACCACCCCAAATGAGCGGTTCTCTCCAGATAAACTGCAGTTAAATCCCACGCCTTCGTAGCTGCTCTTTATGCCTCAGAACACATGCATCACAGGAGTAGCTAGGGTCAAAAAGGTAACATAAAGCAGAGAAACAACCAATACCTTTGCAGAAGTAGCTGAGAAGGAAAAAAGCGCCACCTGATTTATAGAGATAAGCTAAAAACTTTTTATATTCTGCAGACACTTTTAATTAAAATAATCATTTAGCTGTGGTGCTGTAAAATTTAAAGCAGCCAGCAACAGAAAAAAGGTAGTGCGAGAGGCATGCTAAATAAATAATCCACTTTGGGACTCAGGCAGAACATAGTTTTCCTTTTGCAAAGAGACTAAAGGTCTGATAAAATTTTGGTGTTATGCAACAGCATGCTTTATTGGATTGTTTTACATACTTGATACACTGACAAAACAGAAACATCACAAAAGGCAGTATGCGTCAGAATGTATCTCAGATTTAGGACTAATAGATACCCATGCACTTTTACTTGTTGCAATTCACCTGTGCCTGGCTAATGCAGAGAGTTACTTTTGTCAATTCTAGTCCTCAGAAACGCAGTGCAGGCTCTTAAATGACATCCTAAAAAGACCCTAGTCTTCTTTAGTTGGAAAGGGCCTTTGAAGATGGCCTAGTCCAACTCCCTGCTGAAAGCAGGGCCTCACCCAGTCAGGTTTTGAGTATCTCCAAGGATGGACATTCCACAGCCTTGCTGTGGACTACCCTTGCCTTTGTGTGTTTTGGTTTGTGTTTTTTTGTTTTGTTTTGTTTTGTTTTTCCCCCAAAATGGTTACATGTAATCTGCTATATTTTCACTTGTGCTCTTTGTCTCTTGTCCTTTTTTTTCCCCTCAAAGAAAACTGACTCCTAATTAATCAACAAGTAAGCAAAAGGCAGGCCTAACATTAGTGCAGGAAAGAAACTTAGCAACCAAGGACATGACTGGGTTGTTTAATGCCAGTAATTACTTTACACTGTGCCAAAACCCCAGAGAAATTACTGCACCCATTCATTAATCCTCGTTTTTCCCCCTTGCTTTCAAAGTACTTAATGTTATTAGCTCAACAGAAGTGCTTAGGAAAACACAGGCGTCTTTTTAACAGTCATACACTGCATGCGGTATCCGTATGTATCGTAACATGTAGTACTGCAACCAGCCTTCAGCCAAGGACTTCAGAAACCCATCTGACAAGACAAATAGATGTATACTGGCTTGTAAATTGTGACTCATCACGTTGAAGCAATCTGTTTAGGTA